ATATATATATATATATGTGTGTGTGTGTGTGTGTGTGTGTGTGTTACTACACCTCTTTAAGCTTCCCTTCCTTAGTTTCTACAAAGGGACTATAACTGCTAAAAATTGGGTGTTTTCTTCCCCTCAAACTCATGTTGCTATCTAACCCCAAACTGATGGTTTTGCATTGGACTGGTGAGAAGTAACTAGGTAATGAGGGTGAAGCCATCATGCGAGATTAATACCTGTCTAAGAAGAACTTGTTTAAAGAGATTAGAGCCAGCAAGATGGCTCAGTGTGTAAAGGCACTTGCAACCAAATCAGATGACCTGACGTGAGCGTGATCCTGATGACCTGAGTTCAATCCCAAGGACCCAGAAGGTAGAAGGACAGGGCTGCTTTCCACAAGTTTTCCTCTGATCTCCATCCATACACATCACACTCACACACACACAAATGCTCACATACACACATGCACATACACACCAAAAATAAGTAAATAAATGTAAAAAAGAGATTAATTAATAAGCAAAAGAGTGAGGGGACCTGAGGACCAAATCACAACATCTAAAAGAGTCAATGTGTATTCTGTGTCCAGCTTGTCATTTCTTCTTTTACAACATTGATGGCTAAACTATTTCTTAAAATTCTTTTTGCATTTTATAATATTAAATCCAATATTCAGCATATACACACTGTGATGCATACATGAAAAATAAAATTTCAAAAATTGAAGGAAATGGAAAAATCAAATAGACTAATAATAATTAACAAAAATAAATTGAAATCACATTGAATGATTCCTCTTTCTGAATTTTCTGTGCTCAAATTCTATCAGTTTCAGGAATAGCTTTTTCAATTTATAAAATTTTTTTCAGAAATAAAAAATTAACAAAGGCTGCCAACCTATTTCATGTAATTAAATTAAGTTTGATTTTAAACTAAGTAAAGATGTTACACACAGATGTGAAAATCCAAAATAACAGTAGCTCATTGAATTCTAGTGTATGAAACATTTCAGAAAAAAAGTGTCTCGAGGAATGCAGTTAATCTTAATATTAAAAATTAATAATTAAATTTGGACATGAATAAGTACAAAAGTATCAGGAATTTTAACTGTGGAAAAAAATCACATTTGATAAATGCTTATACCCTTAGGGGTATAAAGTTTATCAGAAGATGTACTTAGTGGAAAAATTAGGCACAGACCCTTCAAAACAAGGGGCAAAGCAAGCGTCTCCAATTACTGGTGACAAAAATCATAATAATGAAAACCAAAGCAAGAAGTACAGGTGTTAGTTAGCAAAAAAACTCATGTGTCTTTATTTCCAGATATTATGATTATCTACATTGTCTATTTCCCAGGGATAGCCTAAAGAATTACCACAATATCGGGTAACATGAAATAACAAAAATTTATTCTCCCACAGCCTATGAGACCGAAGTCCAAAATCAAGGTGCTGATAGTATGGTTTCTTCTGCGACTCTGAGGTGGAATCTGCCTGTGATTCTTTCCCAGCCTGTGATGACATTGCTCCATGGCCTATTTTGTCATCACTGTGGCTCTTATCAGGTTTCCTACAAGGACAATAATCATTTGATTTAAGGCTCACCTTCATTTAGTACATTATTTTCACTAGTAATAGTAAGTCCCAATAGAAAGTTTGATGCACATTGCCACACAGATTATAATTTAATAATGCTAGAAATTAAGTTTAAAAAATTTTTCAAAGCCAATGACTTTGACTTTTTTAACAGTTCTGGGAATTGAACCTAGGACTTCATGAGTGCTAGGGACACACTCTTCCACTAAGCTATAGACTCAGCCTTCTTTTTATATTGAACAGGTCTTGTTAAGTTGTTCAGGCTGGCACTGAACTCATCCTATCTCAGGGAGGCCCTGAAATTGTGACCTTCCTTGCAGCAATCTCCTGAATTGCTGGGATTGTAAGCCAGGACCACCAGGTTTGGTACTTTGAAATTTTAAATTATTTCTAAAAGATTTATTTATTTGCTTATTGTATGTGTACCTGTGTATGCCCGAGTGTATGTTAAGTGTACCATGTGCATCCGGGTGCCCACAGACGCCAGAAGAAGGAAGAAGTTCTCTTTGAATGGGAGTTACAGACAGTTCTGAGTTGCTCTGTGGTGCCAGGGAACCGAACCCAGATCCTCTGCAGGAACAGTAAGTGCTCTTAACTATTGAGCATTTTTCCAAATCCTTTTGAAAGATTTTAGAGGTAGTCTCTTAAAAATCTCTTAGATGGAAGAGTCATATAATAGTTACTAAATATAATTCTGAAAAATAAGGCCAACTCTAATGATAAGATATATTCCTAGTAAAATGTCTTATAACAGGTGATCATAATCTCATGTAAGAAAGAATAGCAAAAAAAAAATGAAGAATTCAAGACAAATCTCAAAAAAATTAACCAGGAAAAAAATAACAAATATCACAGAACTGGGAAAATGAACAGCAGACCTCAATCCTATCTGAAGAAATGTTGTCAACTGATTGCTGCTAGGTGAAGAAAAACTGATCTTCCTAAAACAAGGGAACTCTAGATAGGCTGACTAGACCTCAGTGGATGGACTTGCACAGGGGAACGGCTGGGGACCCTGATGGCATAGTGGGCCTTAATAGGAACGACAGAGTATATGGGGTCCAGTGTGTGGGGGGGGATACGGAGAGTGCCAGTGGGTACAGGGTATAAAGATGATTAAAATTGTTTAAGATGTTCTGTAAGAAATACACAAAGAATTCAATAAAAACATTTTTTTAAAAGTAAATGCTATAATTGCCTAAGAGCAATTTCTTTTTGAATTTCTTTTTAACTACAGAAGCTGTAGTTATTTGTGCAGGACCTTCACTGGGACTTCAGAAGACTGGCCCTGCCAATCGTCAGTCCTAGAAGGGGGAGGGGAACATGAGGCCCTAGTTCTTACTGCTGAATCAATAGATTGATAGATTCTGGTAGAGGGGGAGTCTTCAGTCGTGTACCCACGGTTGAGCCCAGCAGGCTCTAAAGGAGTTTCAAACCCATAATCACATAGACTGTTCTGATTAAACTCGGTAGGTCACAGAGCAAAACAAATAGACATGAAAGTGGGAAAGCAATTTGTAGAGAAGGAAATGGGTGGGAGATAGGAGAAGATGCGGGGTGAGAGCACTCAGCATGCATTATATAAATATATGAAGTTGTCAACAAATTTGATTATTAAAAATTATATCTTAATTATATTTAATTATATAACATATGATAGTGTTAACTAACATGCATGGTGGTATAACGAAACTCTAGAAACTTTTCATCTTGCCAAACTGAATCTTTGTGTCCATTGAATAATGGCTATCCACTCCTTGTCTCTACTCACTGGAAATCACTATCTACTTTCTATTTTCAAGAGCTTGGCTACTTTATGTACCATGTATTAATGGACTCATTCACTTTTGCCCTTCTCATTGACTTATTGTACTTAGTATAATTACATCACAGTTTATCCACATTATAGCATACAGCAAGGTTTTCCCTTTTAAGACTGAGTAATATTCCATGGTATGCAGACCACATTTCACCATCCATCAATGTGTTGGTAGACATTTAGGTTGTTTTTTACCTTTTGGATAGTGAAGATAATGTAATGAGCACAGGTGTGCAGCTACATGAAACCTTGATTTCAATTATTTTGGATGAATATTTAGATGTGGGATTTTTAGTATTTTGATTTTTTTTTTATTTATTTTTTTTGAGATAAGTCCCTGACTGGCCCATAACTCACTAGACAGCTCAGATTGGCCTTGAATTTGTGTTGATCTTCCTGCCTCAGCCTCCCAAGGACTGGGATTACATGTAGAGGCCCCAATCCATACATTTCTAAGTTTTGAAGAACTTCCATAATGTTTTCCTTATCAGGTATACCATGTCATTTTCCTGGCAATAGTACACAAAACTTTAAATTTTACGATTTTGCAATCTTTGCCAAAATTTGACATAATAGTGGTCTATGCACCTGAATCCTCCGATTTTTATCTTAGACCCAGGCTGCTACAGTGCGTTTCTGACCTCATTTGTTGTATCTCCCTTGAGCTCAGTCTACTGCATCCACAGTGACCAGTCTGTGACTCCCTGAGTGAACCAAGCACACTCTGGTCTTTGTATCCAGTATAGCTTCAGAGCTCTCTCAGAAGTCATTCCTCTAGAGAGCAGCTGAACATTATCTAACGTCAGTCAATCTCTTGTCCTGTGTCACTACTTCTGACAAGCCTTTCTATGGAACACTTCATGAATTTGCATGTCATCCTTGCAAAAGGGCCATGATCATCTTCTCTGTACACTTTTGGTTTTAGTACATGTGCTGTGGAAGCGAGCACAAGCCTTTCTACTGATTCCATTGCACAGCCTCTGTCACCTTCTGTCCTCTTCCTTGCTTTACTTTTTACTCTCAATGCTGTTGCTCTTGACGTCACATCACTTTTTTTTTTACCTACCAGAATAGAAGCATCATGAAGGCAAGCTCACTAGTTTTAAAAAACACATATTTTTACATTTTGTTTGTGCATGGGGGTGCGAGTGTGTCACAGGATGTGTGTGGAGACCAGAGGACACTTTATAGGAGTCTATTTTCTCCTTTCACCATGTGACTCCCAGGAGTACAACTCGTCAGGCTCGGCCTAGGCATCTTCAAATCCTCAGCTATCCTGTCAGCCCAAGGTTGTTGCTCATTGGCTTTAACACTGCTTTTTACTCTGACTAGAACAGTATCTGGCATGATGAAGAGGCTTGTTAAATATTTGTTAACCTATAAATCACAAGGAGATAATCATCAAGTGCTTCCTATGAGTCACTGTTTCAAAATCTCCAAGTATATTGTTTCACCTCAGTCTTTCAGCATCTTCAGGTGAGAAACTGAGGCACGGCAAAGCCAAACTCATACAGCTAGTAAATCAGGCCCTACGTGAATATAGGAAATGTGGCTCTTGAGCCCTTGTTCACATGGAATCTCCAATCAAATTTTTAGTTTTTATGATAACTATAGCACGTTGAAAATGGGCATGCTACTCTTTTTCTTTATAAGATTTCATCATGGAGCTTCATACACAGGCATCATTGTCTTCGTTCATATTTGCCCCATGATACCATGATACTAATTTTTAAAAGTTGGTGACTTTGTAAACATGATAACAAATTATCTATTTGAATGAACTCTAATAATTCTGAAAGCTCTTTTAGGAGTTTTGGAGTAAAATTACAGGAGAGGAAAAATTTATCAACTATTTATTGTCTGGGTAGGATGTTGCTAAAACAGATTGTTTTCTGTGTCCCATTACATTCACTAAAGTATACTTCTAATTTGACCATGCTTTTTTCTAGTAAGTCAAGAATGAGAAGAATTAGGGAGCAATCTATATGCATATCCTAGGTAGAATGGCACAGGATGAGAAATAAGCCAAGGCTAATTTTATAAATCTTTAAAATATGGAGCAAAATTATTCTTAATAAGCGAGAGTGTTGAGTTTCAAGAGACATGTGCCAGATGGCCTGGTGGAAATTCAGCACTACTTCCTCCCTCCTATGCTTTCTCCTGGATTCCTGGTAATAATATTTCCTGAATCTGTGCCAGCAGGGTTCTGGATTAGATTCTACCTGTGAGAGGCTCTTGTGCAAGGTTTGGAAGGCAGGAGAGCAACAGAAGCCATTATTGCTCCTGCAGGCAGGTTCATGGGCTTCAACAGATGGGCATTTGTGAAGTCCTGCCAGGAGCTTCCCAGCATCGTCTACATCAACTACTTGGAGGCTGCAGGCAACTGAGCTCACAGGGAGTAGCAGCCTGTGAGCATGCCCATGCTGGCCTCCTGCTCATCAGCAGGGTCTTTCTCTGACCTCTATTGTCCCAACCCTGTCACTGTTGTTAACTGGTCTTGTAAACCACTAATTCACTTTATTAAATTTGTTTCTGCATGAACTACCTAGATTTGTGTGTCATTTTCTATCCAGAATCCTGGTTTTAGCACACAAATTTTCTCTGGAAGAATATTTCACTTAATGTATATTTTATTTTATTTATTGAGCCCTTAAAATTTCATACAACCATTTGAATATTTTATTAATTTGTTTTCTCTCACAAGATGCTAAAAAATTTAATGAAAATATATAGTTCTGACCCAAAGTGGTCAGCCTTAAACACATGCAAGTAAGGGCAACGGGAATTGAACTAATTAAGATGCATGACAAAAAATAAATATGGAAAGGGTCATAAACTCAAGAGGGTATGGTTGGGGTAACACAGGGGGTAGTTAGAGGGAAGAGGGATATGGGAGTGATGCAAACACAGTGTATTCATGCATGAAGGCCTCAAGAAATAACATAAAAAGAAAATATATGGAGCTATTAGTATCAGCTATTATTTTAAAATTTTCCACTAGAGTTTTTTAAAATTTAAAGTTATTTATTT